AATCCATGCACAGTCTCAGTATTACTCAAAATCCACACTTTTTAACAGAAATATAATGTAAAACAGATCCATAGTTTAACATTTTCTAGTAGCTGCATTTTAGAAAGTAAAAAGAAACAGGAAGTTAATTTTAATAATATGTTTTATTTAACCAATATATTCAAAATATTGTCATTTCAACATGTGACTCTAGGCACATTTCAAGTGCTCAAAAGCCATGTATGGCTAGTGGCTACCATATTGGACACTGCAACTCTAAACCATGCTAAAGGCAGGAGAACATAGGATTTAATCACTACCTTGTGTTTCCAAGGTCACTGAAGCCTCTGTCACTGTAACATGTTAAATTACAGTTTCTAATGAGAGAGTTTACAGTTTATATGTCTTAAAGAACAGTATTTTACAGTCTGGGTTTGATTCTGGCCTCTACCCATAACCACCGTGTGATTTTAAACAAGGTACGTAATCTCTTTGAATCTCAGTTTTCTCACCTGTCAAAATGAGCAAAATAAATGTGGTCCTAAAAAACTATTTTGAGAATTAAATAACTGGGTCCCTAAGCAGCACTCACCACATAACTGCTCCTTTAGTTCTCCATTACTTCAGACGTTACATCATTTATTGCTTTCTCCTGGAGGAATTGTTTAGCATCAAGTCTCATCTCTGGTGGCTTTAATTCTTCCCCCACCGCAACGCTGCAATCTCTAGCATCCATACTTCTTATCACACTCTGCCATCTGAGATGCACAACGCTGACTTTTCCCTTTTCCTCTTTATTCTTCTATAAGCTCAAAGTATTTATTTGGCCTGCTTCTCTGGTTTGGTGGTAATTTTTTTTTTCATGTTCTTATTTGTTCCCAACACAAGTAATGGCACTCAAACAATAGCCCAGTCCCTGAGCTCTGTGTTGGGATACAGAACCCAAAGTAGATCAGTTTCTGTCCCTTATGAAATCTGTCTATAATTACCACCTTGAATCCTACAATCTGTAGAATCCTCCAATCTACTGATTTCCAGACCCGGAACCTACAGTCCTTGGACCCAGAGAAGAGGGAGCAGGTCTGTCAGTGGACTGAGAATTGCTGTGTGCACTGTGGTGCATAATAAAACTGCCTCCTTCATCATTATTCCTGATATTTCTTCCACAAAGTACCATCACAGACATATAACACATGATTATCTACCGTGTTAGCCTTTAATGGTTTATGTATGAACAAGTTGTTTCTGCAATTAGATAATAAGCAACAGGAAGGCAGGGATCAGACTTTTAATGAAGAATAAACCGCCCAGGGTCATTGTATTTACCACTCTATCTCCCACAGTGCTGTGGACACAGCAGGGGCTCAAGTAATACCTCTAAAATTGCCTAATTACACATGAAGGTTTTCTAGCCTGTAAAAACTTGTAGGAACAAAGGAATCTAGGTGCATAGACCAAGTGTCTGGGGTTCTAAGCAAAACCCATCAAATTCTGCAGCACACAGCACTCTCCTGGCCTACCACCACCCCAGCCTTAGAGGCAACCAACTGTCCTATTACCAGGCCTGCAAGGACACTGTTACAGTTGAGTTGGCACAGGAAGGTCACTATAACTGCTCACAACCCCTCACAGCCCAATCCCCCTTCCATATACGATTTCCCTGGGAATGCAGGACCAGCCCAAGATTCAGACACAGCTGAATCACCACCAGCAGAGACCCGATTTCCTGCCCTGCCCCAGCCCAACATGCTTTGTGTGACAGCCATGCCACATCACAAGGGGACACACCTCCTTTGGGTGTCTTGGAGACTGAAAACTCTCAGTATCCCAAGTGGTGATTCTACAAATACAGAATCTAAATATAACTGGTGTGAGGTGGGGGTGGGGGGTGAAGGATGGGGGATTGAGGAACAGAGTACAGGAACTAGGTGAATGGCCTTATCTTTCCTTCTTTCAAAATTCAACCCACTGCACAAGGCACCTGCTCCCCTTGAGAGAGCCGCGGCTGGGGCTAGGTTGGGCTCGGGTAGGCCTGGAGTGCAGGGAGATGCAGAAAGCAGTAGGGTCCCGCACACACATCCCGTGCTTACCACGATCACCACTTTGGGAGTGGGGCCCTTAACCTCCCGCTGTACGATGCCAAATCGCTGGCTGTACATTTTCGAGTCCCTCGGGATGGGGGCGGCGTCCGCCGCGGTTTCCCAACAGTGGAGACCTGCGGGACCAGCTTCCGCAATGCAGAGGTCTGGTTGCCATGGTGCGCCCTGCAGGGTGAGGGGCAGGTGGGAGGGGCCGAAGTCGGTCCCGTCACCATGGTGACCATAGACGCCGGTACTCGCAACTTCCTCCCGGAGCCGAGGAGCTGAGTCTGCGCGGTCCTCACCCCGCCCTTGGCCAGGCCTCCGGCGACCGCGCTCCCTTCCTCTAGGGTTCATCAGAATAGCAGAAATAAGCCTCCTTAACCCGAAGTGAAGGCGAAGATCTAATTACATTCCATTGACTTTGCTATTTATATCCTGTAATCAGCTCAAAAGCATGAGAAAAGTTAGTGGATACTCTGTGGGAAGGTTAAATTTTGCGGGCATTTTTAGGTGAATCTTGATGATGGTACTAATCATCACATGACCACCACCTTATATTTGTGTAGTTCTTTACGGTAATTTGCAAGGTATTTTCACACATAAAACCTTTGGACCTCACAAATGTCTTACAGGGTTTATGGAACAGCAGGTATTATCCTCTAATACCTGCTAAGACAAGGCCTAGAGAGCCTGTCAGCCCACCCAAACCAGTAATGATAAATGTTACTAGTATCTTCCTACTGCACGGGGCAGAAACCACAGCTGACTCGGGGTACCCTAGGATGGGGGACAGATCAGATGGCCTAAGAGGGCACTGACATGACCTGGCTGGGCAAAATAAAGACCAAGAGTCTGAGGTACGGTTCACAGTAAACCAGGGTGAGGACATGGATGGGAAGCGCTGGTAATGAGGCCCTGAGAATCCGTATCTGAAGGGAACAGGCAACACAGACAGCTCAGGGAACCTAGAAAGAGCCCTAGGCACAGGTGGAGCCCACAGCTGTACTTCAGTCAAGAGCAAGGTGGTAGTAACTAAAAGCCAATTAAGAATGACGCTTTGGTACTCTCCTTCTAAAGTGGGGGCGAGCACAGAACACTAGAGCATAGAAAAAAATCAGAACCTTGTCAGTCACTGACATCTAACAATAACCAAAGTACAACTATTGTGTATACCGTCGCAAGGCCGCAATTTACTGTAAATTAGCATTCCTTAATCATTTGTAATCCACCCACTTCGGATTTTGTATGCGGTACGTTTCTAGATTTGGATTCCATTTCCTGAAATTGCTGGTTCAGCTTTTCAGCCACAAAATAATGTCTTTTTTCTCTTTTTAATAATCTCTTTTAATAATTCTCATTTTGTCTTTTTTCTCCTATAATGCTTCTTCTTTCAATTGCAGTTCGGTAAAATACTCATTTTCATTTACTGCTAAGAGTTTACGTAGCCTGAAACAAACAAAAAAGAAAGAAATTAGAAGTCGTCTCGGTTCCCTGGACAGAGTCCTGAGGGTCAGTTCCTTGATCTTCGAGTCCCACGGGCGACTGGCCCGCTGGTTGGTCTGTGTGGAACCACCCCTCACACCACACCCTTGGGAAAGAAGGGAGGCAATGAAAAGGCCCTCAGTCAGGCGCAGGGTTTGGGAAAAGCAGCAGAGATATAAGGAGAGCCAGTCAGGCACCCCAGAGGTCGTACAGCCCGTAGGATCCCGTCGAAATGAGTTCGGCGACGGGGGAGGCCGACCCTTGGCGACACTTTGCTGCCCTCGAACGTCCCAGCGTCGGTCCTGAGCTCGTCGTGCTGCACCCTTACCCCGGGTGTGCCCCGTAACTTAACTCCAGTTCTGTTTTGCCTGTTTTACCACTACGTGAAGAAGAAGAGTCGGCTTTCCTCCCAGCCCGGCCAAGGATTGGTGTCTCGGCCGGGCGGAGGCCACGCCCCCGAGCCGCCCCGGCCAGGGGTGAGGGGCTGCGTCTCCCGAGAGCGACGGTGGGCTGACCGCGGCCCCGGCGCCCCCTGGCGGGCCTATTTGGAGGGTGGAGGGGCGGGGCCGGGACCAGCGCCCCGCACAGTGAGCCTCTGCCTTCAGCCAAGCCCCAAGGCCTGGAGAAGCGATTGGCCCAAGGTCCTCGGACAGAACCTGACCCTGATCTTGCCACCCACCATCCCACTTTCTCAGAGTCAACACTGTTACCACCATCAAGACACTCCCCAAAGAAACACTGAATATATGAAACAGTAAACGGGACAATAAAAATCATTTTAAAATAATTTTAAAATAGAACAGCTCAGAGATAGAAACTATTTATATTATTTCCAATTCCTATTGTGCCCCAACACGGTTCACGCAAGGGCTGTCCTCCCGACAGTTTCCTGAATTCTATATTTTCACCATTAAATTCCATGATAAAGTTGGATATCCATTCACCATTTGTAATACATACTGATGTATTTAATAAAATTGCATGGACTATATCTTTTTCATTCCTTTATCCCAGTATCAAGTACAGTGTCTACCATGGGCCAGGTTCTCATTACTTGAATGAATGACACAAAAATAGCCGAGACCAGCCAGTTTTTTTCTGGGTGGGCTTGACAGTATTTCTGTACTTGCTGGGGTCACCATGAAATCCATGGTCTTCAGCTTTGCATTTCCAGCAACGTAGCTTTATCAAGTTATCCTCGGGTGAGCAGTGAGACCCTTGGGAGCTGATTCATGGCAGGGTGGCTTTGTAATGTGTCACCTTGACTAGGCTACGTTTCCCAGAACTCCCTTCCCCGTATGCTTCCGGTTAGGATGGGCCACAAGAGACATTTTGCATGGTAACTGGAGGACAGAAGTGAAGCAGCAGCATACTGTTTTTACACTCGGAAGGTTGGTGCAGACGCACCAGGCACTGTTGCAGTTCACACATGTTGTCACTTATCTGCTGGCTCACCTCGTTGGTGTGGGGCAGCAGTCAGGCCTGCAGTCAGGCCTGCAGCTGCTCCACTTTCCCTGGGATCTTCCTTCAGCTTCTCTAATTCCTGGGCAGGATGAGTATTTAACTCTGTGATGAAGGGCACCAGCTTCTTCTGCAGGACACCCACATCATCGAAGTTGGAGGTGCTGAGACACCGACATGGGTTCTAGGCCATCCTCGCCGGTTCCAGCTCTTGCTCGTGCGCGCCAAAGTGTCCTCCGTCTCCCACACTTTACATCCATCTTCCCTTCCCGATTGCCTGCCCTGCAGACTTCAAGCTCCAGCATTAGATGCAAAGACAACAGCCTTACAGAGACTGTTTACTCAGCTCCCACTACTGCATAAGCTCAAATCCCTATTAAGTCCCTTAAAATATACATATACATATATATATACACACACATATATATACATATATATATAATCTTTATATTAGTGGTGCTGCTTTTCTGATTGTACTGGGATACACACTGTAACCAGACTCTTAGGAGTCTGAATGCCAATCAAATAAATTTCATGTAAGACATCACAGAATGCTAGGGTTGGGTGGCTGGGTCCTGGGGAGAACAAAACAATACCAGAAAATTACCCAGTCTTGTCTCTGGCTCAAGAAGGTAAAGCAAAGGAAGGAGCAGAGAGGGTAGCAGAAAGGGTTAACAGTAGGGAAATGTCTAATCTACATCTGAATTATCTAAAGCTGAAGGGCCTGGACTAGAATAAGGTAGGGGAGATACAAAGGCTACAGAATTTAAGGAGGCATGCACTCAGTCACAGCCCTGTAAAGCTGGCTATGTAACGAACCACAGGTCTAAACTTTTTGGTACTTTATGAAGAACTGGGAAGTGAGGTGGGACTGTGTCAAGACTGGCCCTTATGTAGAACTTGAAGCAGGAATTCGGTCCCCTAGTAGAGAGGGGCCAAGGGCAGAAACCAAGCACAAAAGTCATCAGGGGGCAGGGAGGCAAGTTGTCAGCAAACCAGACTGGCAGCTTTACTTCTGAAGACTGCTTTGGCTGAGAAGAATGAGGGCAACAAGCAAAATGGACAGTGACCCCTGGGGAAGGCGTCCGTTAGTGTTTGAGGAATATTATGCAACACCTAAGGCCTCAGAAGAACCCAGTCTCTTGAATGCATGGTGCCGTGACAAGGTGACCAAATCCACACAGCCTTGGCACTCCCTAAACCACGCTAGAGGCAGCAGTGTAAGCGATTTGTTCTTTTTAGGGTAATCCACTTTGTTTTCAAGGTCACTGGAAACTTCTGTTACTATAATATTATACATTATTGGATATAGGATTACAGCTTACAGTTTGGTGGCTTAAAGAACAAGGTTTTTACAACCTGGGGTTTTTTTCTAGGCTTACTGGTATGAGTTGTCTGACACTGGACAAGTTATTTAATTTCTTTGAGTCTTGTTTTCCCAAATGCAAAAATGGGCAAAAATTATTGTCTTCCTAAAAAGATTGGAGAGCTAAATAAATTATATCAGTAGGAGGAACTATATCAAATAGAGTTCCTTTCCTCGTTTATTCACATTACACTTTCCAATGCTGTCTCTCTGAGAAAATGGAAATGTTCAGAAACACCGCCAGGTCTCATCCAGAAGCCACTGAAAGATTATTCATGAAGATGGCTTGTATAGGCTGTTTTGTGGTGGCTTTTACATCTCCTCTCCACCCCAGATCCCCTACCTGTAATATCCACACTTCTTATCAGTCAAGCTCCCGGGATTTGTACCAGTTGGAGCAGATGCAACAACTTTCTATTCTTTCTCTTCCTTTCCTGCTTACTTCTGCTATAAGCTCAAAGTACTGAATAGGCCTGCTTCTCTGGTTTGGTGGTAGGTTTTTCCAGTTCCTATTGAATCCTACATAAGCCCCTCGGTCTACGGTCCAGCCTCTGAGTAGATCAGTGTTCTCTCATAAAGCCAGTCTTTAAATATCACCTTGAATCCTACAGTCTGCAGAAGCCTCCAGTCTACTGCTTTCTAGCTCCAGGTTTTTTAAGGTCCTTGGACCTAGAGAAGAGGGAGCAGGTCTGTATGTTGAATGAAGTTCGCTCTTTGCAAAATGGAGCATCACAAAACCATTTCCTAGGATTCTGTGCCCACCATCCATTTCCCCATAATTATCCCTTATCTCTCTTTTCATTTTAAAATATTCCATTACAAACAAGATAACACATCATTACCTTCTCCGTTAACATGTAATGATTTCACACATAGGGAAACTGTTTCCTCACTTAGATGATAAGTTCCCTGAAGGCAGGAATCCGTGTCTCCTGAAGGATAAGCCTTCCGGGGTCACTGTATTCACCACTGTATCTCTCACACTGCAGTGTACCCAGCAGGTACTCAGTCAGTACCTCTGTAATTGCCCAAGGCAGATGAAGGAGTTTCTGGCCTGCAGAAACTAGTTTGTGGGAACAAAGGAATCCAGGTGCCTAGGCCAACAATTTATGTTGCCCGTGTCTGGGGCTGTGTGCACAGCCTGTGAACATTCTGCAGGAGGTAGCATTCCCGTCCTCCTCCCGCCAGCCCTGTCCTTAGGGGCAGCTATCCTTCATCCTATTGCCAGGCCTGCAGGGCAGTTCTGTGGAGCAGCTATAACTGTTAATAACCTGAGGCTCAGGAAAGGCTCAAGAAACACAGCCTGACCCCATCCACAAAGGATGTTCTAGGAGGTGGAGGACTAGCCTGAGATTGCGCAGTTGCACGTGGACCCAGATCAGAGCCATCTCAGGGCCTAGATCTCCTGCCCACCCACCACTGTCCAACCCACCTGTCATCTATTGGAGACTCCAGAGGCCTTCAAGACCCCAAATGATGATTCTCTGAGTAAGAATTTATATATTAAACCTGACCCCTTCTGGATTTTCTTAGGAAGATGTGGACCAGGCTTTTATAATTTTCTTTCAAATCTTATCACCAGGAATCAAGTCCTCACCTCCACTGACCCCTGTCCCTCTACCCACCACCCCCACACACACCTAAGGAAAGTCCTGACCTGAATCTCAAGAGAAATTTCTAGGGTCCTGCACATAACCCCTCACTGATCATGATCAATGCAGTGATATGAGCCTTTACCTCCCACTGCATCATACCAAATTGCTGACTCTACATGTAAAACTCGGGGCCCACATCTGACCAGCACCAACCCCATACCACCCCTCACTGTGCGGGGCACACCTTGGCAACCAGACTGCTGTGTCCCGGAGGCGGGTTCCACCCAGGCTGAAAATCTCGGTGATCTAGGGAAGAATTAATATCATGGGTCATCATGGCCAACAGGGCTAAAGCGGGCTCAGGGCAGGGTGAAGCATCCCCCAGCACTGACCACGGGTGTGCCAGCCCCTCCTGCCTCCTCCTCTGGTGCCGAGTCGGAGGCGGAGTCATCCTTGCTCTCTTCCTCCTTGTCCTCCTCAGGGTCCAGTGGCTCTTGCTTCACAGGTGGCAGGCCTGGGTCTACTGCCTGGGAGAGGTGGGAAACAGGCAGCAGTCAGAAGGGCAGGGTTGGCCTGAGGAAAGAGTCTCTTATCAGCCAACCTGTCAGCGTGCTGACAAATCCCACTTCCGTCACACTTCAGCCCAGAAAATCCATCTCTCAGCCTACAAACCTTTCCCATTCCTCAGAGAATTCCATTTTTGTTAGCTGGACAGCAAAGCAGGCAGTTAGTTGCCTGGGGAAGGTGGGGCATGTGTCAGACAGGTGGGGTAATTTTATAGTGAGGCTGCAATCAGCACATCTATTGCTCTGCTCAAAGAACCACCATCATTCTGCTCACAGACCACCCATCACTGACCCCCACCTTGCTGGGGCAGCCAGACAGCAATACAGGAGAAGTCAGGATGGCTGTGCCCGGTGTCCAGTCTTCCTGGGCATCCGCCTTCTCTTGCTTCACCTGGGGTAAGGCCACAACCCAACTCAGGCCAGGGCACTGGGCCTCCTGTGTGAAGGAGGATTGCGGCAGACTTGGTCCCAGCTTCCTGGCACAAGGCTGGGTAGGGCTGGGAAGGGCAGAATAAGATGGGACCCTCACCTGCAACAGGGCTTCTGTGGAAGCTGAAGCAGGGCCAGGCACCTGCACAGGACTGCTTGCACCTTCCCGTAAGAACACAAGGTCGGTGCCAGGTGGGGGTAGCACAAAGCCACTGCCTGTTTCCTGTTTCATTGGAGTCTGGGCACGGCCTGATCGGGCTGTGGGTGTGGTCAAGGAGGTCTTCAGTATCTGCCCCAGACGGGGCCGTCGAGTAGAGCCAGGTCTCTTTCGACGAGAATAAGGTGGGGGCGGCCCTGCCCCATCCTCAGATCCTGCCCAGACACTAGGCAGCAGCCGCTTCTGAAGAAACACAAGATATTATGGCCATCTGGTGCAGTGACCGACTCCACCACCCTGTCCTGATCAATGCACCTGCTAATTCCCATTAGTTCCAGCACAGAACGTGCTTACATCGGAGGCCCTCATCATTGAGCCTGCTGGTCTCCTGTTAGCAATGCCAGTGCCACCCAGATTCATTTGCCCCAGCACAATGCTGGCTAATCTTTGGCTGAACCTACTGCCCTGCCCACTCTGAAGATGCACAACCCATCTGGCCTGCCCCACCCACCTACCAGGCCTACCCACCACTCCCAAGCACTGGGGGCCCTGGATCAACTTGTCCCACCTGCCTGACCCTTCCTGCCCCACCCACCATGGCAAACTGCAGGCATTGGCGCCAACGACACTTCTGACGCTTCTGGTTGCTGCCCCCAAATTTGGGCTTGTCACAGCAGAAGTCGCAGTGGCCACAGTCCATCCGGCGTAGGCAGGCTGCACAGGCCCCACACTTGCGGTTCTGCCGACGATTCGTGTAAGGCTGCTGGGGGACAGGCAAAAAGGGGGTTGCTATTACTGGCACTATTCCAATGCTGCTCCTGTTGCTCCTTCACTAGCCTCATCAGAGGGAACCAGCTGTGCACTGGTCTTGGTCACACCTCAGGAGCTGCTAGTCCAACACCAGGCACTATCATTGTATCGGACAGTGCCCGATACCATCAGGCACTCCAACACCGTATCCATCACGCCATCTGCTAGACTAGTGGCTACCAAAGTCTTTGACCCCCACCTTCAGCAGAATTTTGCTGACCCTCTATCGTTGCCTCCATTGTGCCTGCTGTATCTGCTCAACCTATGTGAACTCTGCTCACTACGCTGACATTTCCTCTATTAACCCCACCAGAGCACTGATTCATCTGACGTTAGGTACTGTTGCTGCACCTGTCCATCCCATATTAGTCCCTCCCCCATTGTCTGCTCACCCCGTACTAGTACCCATTACTCTGTCTTGCTGTTCCCCTATTAGGCCCACTGCAGCAGCTGCTTCTTTGGGCTTAACCAAGTGCCCTGGGAGGGTCTAGGTTTGTCCATGTAGGGTAGGGCCACTCACTAGCTCGTCCTCGTCTACACAGTAATAGATGAACTCGGCAGGTGGCGAGGGGGCCAGGGCTCTGGGGTGCTGCAGAGGCAAATGGGGTGGGGTCAGGGCAGGTACTGGGTAAGGTTAGGGTTGTGCCTTCCCCCTGCCCACCAGGGCCTCACCAGCTCTGGGGACTCTGGAGGCTGTGATGGGGGAACTGGAGGCAGTGGCTGGGCTCGCGGGGGGCGCCGCCGAGCTGCCATCTTGGAGTCACAGCCTCCTCTGCGGCGGCTACGTTTACCCTGGGAGAAAGCCAGAAGAGTAGTTTAGGCTTGGTGGCACCAAGCAGACACAGGACCACCCCCCTCCACCCCCAAGAGGAGTGCAGAAAGCATGCATGGGACAGGCAGGCAGAGTGTGGGGTGCGGCACTCACAGCAGGGGGAGCCACAGCTAGGGGAGGGCGTCGTTGACATCGCTGATGGTGGCGACGGAGACGGTGGGCAAGGTGCTGGCAGACAGGGGCAGGTAGGTGGGACCAGGGAGTTGAGCATGGGGCGAGGGAGAAAAGAAGACATGAGGTGGGCAAGGCTGGGAGGAAGCAGCAGCAGCAGTAGCAACTTTAACAGCAGAATGAATTCTGCCCCAGCCCTGGCCCCAACAGCGCTGGCCCCTCCAGCCTGACTCACCCGTAAGCAGCGCCGCTGGACACACCTCCACTGGCGCCTGAGACCAGGGCGGGGAGGGCGAAGGCAGACTCGACAACGGCCACAGTCCTCTCGGGTCTGACAGCCCCGGCACACTCCACACCCTCGGCTCTGTTGGGGGGATGGGAAGGGGCAGAGGCATGATGCATGGGGCCAGGGCTATGAGAGCCAGGGCTAGGGTGAGCCATGGGCCTACCCTACCTGCCCAACTCACCCTTTCCACAATCCGGAGGCACCGTCTCTGCTCACACTTGCAGAACAGCCCCGAGGCCACATCATGGGGCAACTGCAGAAGGCAGGTGGAGCAGGCCCCGCAGTCCTCGGTTACCCGGCAGGCCGCGCACTCCCCGCAGCCCACACGCTGCCAGGAATGGGTGGGGCGAGGTCACAGGCCCAAACTGAGTTGCTCCAGGTGCGCTGCCCCTTACATGTCTGTTATTAGCCCCCACTGCCATGTCTAGTAGTCCACCACTTGCCTCATCACTGTATCTGACAACTACTGATTAGCTGCCATCAGAGGCTATCCCCAATGTCTACCAGTGCCCCGTTAACCTCATCGCTGAATCTACTGACACCCCTTTAACCCATTACTGTCTGCTGACCAAAGCTAGCTCCCTACAAAATGACTCTGACACCCTGTGGATCCATCACCATTCCTTCAGATCCTCCATAAGCCCCCATCACATCCTGCTCCCACCGCACACTTGTGAGGAGGAGGCAGGTCGTGCTTACTTTAAACATCCTTTGCTCCCGGTTGAAAGCAATTCTCTGTGCTGGAGAGGGAAAAAGAGAAGTGGACAAAAGGCATCAGATATCTAACCTCACCCACTGCTGCTACCCTGATGTCCATTCAACCTCTAGCCTGACAGTGGTGTCCTAATCGACATCAGACCTGCTCCACTCCTGTCTCCAGGGTCCTGGGGGCCACTCACCTCGGCAGTCCTTGCATAATGTCTTGAGCCGCTGTCTTCGGGTACCATCTCCTGAGAAGCTGATTCCACAGTTCTCACAGCACCTGGGATGGGAAACATGGGTGTGGGGCTCTGAGTGCACCCCAACCACAACCCTCACCCTCTTGGCTCACTTTAGGCCAACACTCACCCAGGAGCAGGGAGTGAAGCTGGGGCTGTGTCGGCATCAGCCTTGGTCTCATCTCTTGGGGCCTCCTTCCTGACCTCACCCTTCTGGGGTCCAACCTGACGTTTCCGAGTCTTGGCTGGCCGTGAAGGCTTCTTCCGCTTCCTGCTAGGGACAGCTAAGGACTGGGGCTGCAGATGAGAGGGAAAGAAGGAAGAGATCAGTGGGTGGGTGTTAGGTGGCTCAGTTACCCCTGCCTGGGTACCCAACACTGTGTAGTACCTTGGGGGCTGGATAACACAGAATGCCTTGTTTGAAGTCGAAGAGGGTGAGGTCGCACGCAGGGCCCAGGTATCGGGTCAGCTCAACTTTGCTTCGGATCCTGTCTCCTGTGGGGCTAGGGATGGGCCAGGATGGGTTGGTACCTGGGTGGAGCCATGGCCACTCCACCCACACAACCCTTCCACTGGACTAGTGAACAGGCTTGCAGGGCTGGCAGGGGATACAGGAGGCAGCATGGGATTGGCATGTAAGCCCTGACCAGGTCTTACCCCAACTAAGCCTGCGTAGCAAAAATACAAAATGTGTACAAATAGCAGTGTATATGCAAATATAAATAAGTAATATAAACATAAATACGTATGTATTTATGACATACGCTACTTGTAGTCTACGTAAATAAAAATAGATAGAAATACCAATATGTTAAGTAATATATAAATACGTTAGTGTTACTTAACTGAACATGTAAAAACGCAAAAAATACTCTTTAAAAATATGCACACAAACACGCACATAAATATAAATACAAACATATGCGTAAACATACAGATGCAACTACATACAAAACAAAGTAGGAATAACTGATATTGAAAGAAAACACTCCACGGATCTCTAGCATTTCTGCATGTCTTGCAAGAGAGGCACTGATAGTCCTTTGTTATGAACTATCTTTTCAAGGATGTTTGTACAGCAAACAACCTTGGAAGATAAGAAATAAGTTCTCCTTCCAGAGCAGAAGGAAGGCATCCTACTATCCTAACATTATAAAAGATTGGATTCCTTAAGCTCAAGGTTCCTTTCCTACAATCCAATGCACGGGCAGATGCTAGTTAGCCCTCTGCAGGTGACCATATGGGAACTGGTGTTTGGGGAACTGACATGAAAATAACAACATTCTGGATACTGCTGTTACTGTGAGTAATAAACTATCTTTCATTTCTGACCCAGGAGTCTCGTATATCCTACCAGCATCCACAAAATTATGACATACTTGTTATCTTGCCCTAATTAGGATAAAACCTCTAATCTTGTATGGTTCTTGATGACAGCACTTAAAAGTATAAGTTTTGACAGTTTCATACAAATTGTGATTATGTGGATAAACATAAAATTAAGTATGAACACTATTATTTATAATTTTACTATATTTCTCCAGGAAAACAGCAACTTAGATACAAAAAAAGTTCAGGAAGAATGCAGTAAATTCAACAACTGTATCATTAATATATCCTAAAACACCTTAGATCCTTACACATAAATAGTATACAAACACATACATTCACGTATTAATAGCTGATTCTCATTTGTGGTATATTGTATAAAGTCACATTAAACACTTAATTGGTGAATACAGAACCTCTTCTCCTAGTGAAACTACAGGTTAGCTTCCTGCGAGCCTCAGGTGACATTTCTGTCAACTGATCAATGTGTAACCTTGTTTTATGTATGGCCTTTCAATAATTTAAAGCCAGGAGCTTTGGAGTATTGTTATATAGGTACTTTTGGCAAGGTCCTTGTAAAATAAGCCAGTCTCTCAGGTTTGAAAACCTATTCTTCTACGTGATACTTTTCCCACGTAACACTTAACAGGTATTTTTAAAATTCCTCTGCAAACTCTTGGTCTGCAGAACTACCTTGCATGCAAATTTAACATTTTTCAGGATGTATCACCTTTTGAAACATGTGAGCCAGTCAGCACTAGCTGAGATAGGTTTAACATTTTTCTAACCAGGGGTAACACAACTGTCAATGTCCCTGGCTTTCAGCTTCTCACTCTGTCCATTACACTTTATTCTCCTGGTTATTATCTTACGGATCTTTAAGTTTAGCCCTTTTCCCACCTTTTCCTGAGCTTCTTTACATACTATAGATGTTACTTTAGCATTTTCCAGAAATTGGAAGTTGGACAAATTGGAAAATTTCCTTTTCTTTTTCTAGATGTACCACATTTTCGATTCATTAACAATGCACTCACACCTAACAATACTACAACTCACACCTGAAATTTATTTAATGTGTATTTTCTCCTTGTAGCACATCACACTTTTCTCCTTATGCCCATCACAGACTTCTTGCACTTAAAACAACAGACACTTCAGCACTATGCTGGGGGCCATTCTAAATACCAAAATCACCAATAAAAAGTACAAAAATGTGAAAAACATGGCACTAAGTAGACCACGAAAAGGACACTTGATTACAGTGAAAGAACTGAAACAAGAAAGCCTCATTCAACCTCAGCTGGGAATGCGTGTATCAGGCAGGAACTTAAATTTTTTGCTGTTCTGTGTGTATCTATGAGAGACTATGAAAGTACAGGGAGTATCGACTTTAATACAAATTCTAGCAAGCAAATTTACAAACATGGAATCTACAAATAGTAAGAATCAAATATATATGCATATTTTAACCCACCCACAAAATTAAACACACCCCCTTGATTTCACCCTGCTTAACCAGGCTCAGCCCTACCCATGACTCTGTCCGCAACCCACTCAGTACCTCTGGTAATAGGTGTCTGAGCGTCCACAGGTGGCACCTGACTTTCGAAATACCTCACGGCGCTTCCAGCCAGGGCCCAAGGCTGGGCAGTCCAGCCAGTCCTCAGCCATGGGAGCCAAGGGAAGGAGCAGCGGCCTGCAACATGGAGGGGGCAATGAGGAAAACTGAGGCTCTAGGGGAGGACACGTTGTGCCCTAGCCCCACAAACTGCTAGTATTTATTAATGCTTGTCCAAGACCTGGTATTTACCACAGGCAACTGGCCAATAGAACAGAAATTCCCCTTCCCCATCTCATTCTTCCCTGTCCTGGGCCCAGAAGCTTGTCATTCCTCCCCCTTCTGACCTAGCAGCCCCATCTTCAACTTAAGAGTCCCGATCCTCAACCCAAAGATCCTCATTCCTTACTCAATGTCCTGATTACCAATTCTTCCCTGTCCTTGGCCCGAGCGCCCATCACTTCTCCCCTCTGCCGACCTAGGAACCTCTCATCCCTCCCAGGAAGACACTCTGTCTCAACCTACTGGTCCCCACTCCTCCCCTTTGTCACCCTGAAACCTCCATACTCCCCATCCTCAGCCTGAGAGGCCCTAGTCCGCCCAACATCTGCCCCATTCTGCTCATCCTCAGACCAAGGTTCCAGTACTCTACTTCAGTGTTCTGACCTCCCAGTCACTCTCTTCATTGACCCAGGAGTCCCCAGTTACTCTCTCACTCTTTTAGCCCTCCCATTCCTTCCCTTTCCGATGTCCTCTTATCATGCTACCTCAGGGCTATTGCCTCAATTTCCTCTGTGTCCTCTGCCAGAGAGCCCCCAGCTTCTCCTTCTCTTTACCCTAAACAGCCCCTCACTCCTTCTGTTCCTCAGCCTGAAAGCCTCCTCCTCATTTTCCCTGTCAGTGTTCCTCTCGTCTTCAGCTAAAAAGTTTCCTCATTCCTTCCCTTCAGTGTCCCTTATTCTCCATTCCTCTCATCACCCTGACATACCCTGACTTCTGCCCTCAGCATTCTGAACCCACCCCTAAATCCTCCCCGTTTTTGTCCCAAGATCATGCCATCCCTAACTCAGCATTCGGAACCCCTATTTCTTCTCGTTCTTCGTATGAGTCCCAGTCGCTCCTTTTCAGCATCCCAATGCCCCCCATTTCTTCTCGTCATCAAGCTGAGAACCCCTCATTTCTCCCTCTCAGCGTTCTGAACCCCCATTTCTCTCCTTAACCTGAGAGGCACCGAGGTCTCCCCTCGGTGGGATGGGGTTCGGATCCTTCCCCATCCCTCTCCGTCCTCGTCCAGACTCCCGACACTTCCACCTGTCAGCGCTCTGAGCCCCATTCCTCCCGGTCCTCAGGCAAAACCTTCCCATTCCTCTCCTTCAATATTCCGACGCCGCCATTCCTCCCACTCATCGGCCTGAGGGCCCTTCATTCCTCTCCGTCAGCGTTCTGAGCCTCAATTCTTTCCCATCCTACGCCTGAGCGCTCTCCATTACCACCCCCACAACTGTCTCACCAGCTCGGCACCGGGCCGGTAGCTTCCGCCGCTCTAGGTCCGCGGACCCATGGCGAGGGTCCCGCCTGTGACTCCCGCCTTGCCCTGCTCTTCTTCCTCCTCCGCAGACGCTTCCTCTGAAGCGGTAGCTGTCGCTGCCGCGGCCGTTCGTTGCTCCCGGAACCGGAAACCCACTGCCCACTTCTAGGGCCCCGCCCCCAGCAGGACGCCTGCGCGCTAATGCCCCTCCAGCGTTTGCCCTTAGTGGGGAGGACGCCCCGCGCCTGCGTGCTCAGTCCCAGAGCGGCGCGCGCCTCTGGCCCGGGACCTACTGCGCTTGCGCCCTGACGTCCAACTACGGCTCGCACCTCTATCGGAGACCTGCAGCGCCGGAGCTCCTCATTTCGCCAACCGGCGCTTTCTCCCGACTCCGCCTGCCTGGCTTGCGCCCGCGGTTTCTCAACCTAAGGGGGCGTGAAGGGTTAGCATTGGCCCTACGCTGCTTCCCCAGCGGTCTCCACCGGCGGTAACCAGGAGGGAGGGGCGCCGAAGGCTGAGGTTGTGCCGGAGGCCTCCTCTCCCACCCCTCGCCTACGTCGCGCCTGTAACGGGCGGTCCCCCGACCCTCTCCCCCAGGACTATTGTGTCCCGCTCTCTCCGGCCCGCCGAACTGTCGCAGGAGCGCGCGGGGACTAGTGCGGCCGCACGCTAACCCCGGCTCCTTCCGCGGGAACTGGAGAAGGGGGCGGTGCCGCGCTGCAGGTAAACAGAAGGGCCGTGCGACCGAGCCGGGCCGGCCCCTCCTGTAAAGGCTGTGCTGTGGGCATCACTAGACCCGACGACAGGGCGGGATGGGCTCCCCAGACTTCTGTTACACGTGTAACGAAGAGGGGTTCGTGGGAGAATGAGACCGTGTGTCCGTTACCTAATACATTTCTACTCAGGAGGATGTCAGTGCTGACACGGGTGGTAGGTCAGCCACAATACTGAATTAGTGCCGACTGTGGAGTTTCAGGATGAAATACTGAGAATGTAGGTCATTGGGTTCTCCTTCAGCAAGGCATATCCCATCGCCCAAGGGGGCTCCTGCAGAGCATAGAGTAGGTGCCAACTGGACACTTAAAGCTGTATACTGCAACTTCCTCTGAACACAGGTGTGTGCCACAGCTCATCTACCCAAGGGGTTTGGGAATGCAGTTGCAGCTGGATAAAGTGTGAAAAACATCAGTAATCTTTCTTAATTCTTCAAAATTTTATTAACAAAACCGGGGGGGAGGGGGCAAGAGTGAGCAAACTCCACAGTCCCACCCAGGCACAGAGAACGGAGAGACAGAGGGACACACAAGAACAGGAGAACATTCTGAGACCCTCTGGTAACGGCAGCTGGGTAGTCAACTGGTGGATGGGCACAGGGAGAAACTCAGGGACCACTGGAGAAACAGATGAATGGCAGAACAAACAAATGGGGGATTCACGGCAGCTCCCCAGCCTGGAATGCAGGGTGTGAGGACTTCTGGGCCAGTGTGAGACTCAGCGGTCAGCACTGGAGCGCAGGTCGGTCGTGAGTGGGTCATGTTGGATCGTTTGGTGCAGCATCAGGGCCAGTAATCCTGCCCGGTTAGTCATGGCTGTGCGTACATTGCGCTCCTGCTCAAACAGCTCATCCAGCTTGTACCACTGCCAGGGGAGCAAAGGAGCCATGAGAAGGAGCTCCAGAAGCCCCACCTGACCCCAGCCACATTCAGCATCAAAACCTACCACGCGCACACGCTCCAGGTCCACTTCAGCACGCCGCAACTTCTCCCAGCAATAATGGCGGTTACACTGGCGTTTGGGCAGGCGACAAAAGTCACCTGTGAGCTCAAAGACATCACGTACAAGAGGGCACCCACATACTTCATCTGCTGGCACCTGCAAGGAGATTGGGGGTCAGGGATAAATGGTGGTGGGGCAGAAAAGAGGACAGGAATTGGGGAATGGTCAGAGAGGTAGGAAGGAAGGAATAGAGAGTTCAGAGTGTAGAGAGGAATGGAGATAATGAGACACGGAAAGGAAAGGAATGCAGAGTGACCAAGCAAAGTGAGAGTTATGGAAGCAGGCAAGTAGGGAAAAGGGAAGGAAGGAGGGCAAAGGACGAAACAAGCGATGAATGTGGGGCAGTGAAGAGAAAGAACAGAATGGGGGAGTTGAGGGCAAACCTTACTTTGGGGTCCCGTGAGTGCTCAGGGCACAGCACCTGGAGCCGCTTACAATAGGTCTTGCTCTGAGGATTATAGACATCACAGAAGAGTCGTGTAGCTCTGGGGATTTAGAGTAGAGAGAAGGTAGTGGAGGGAGAGAAGGGAGACCCATCTATTCTTGTCCATACCCATATCCTACCCCAACATGCCACTTCCGACCCCAGCCTTAACCTCCCTGCTCTAACTTCACGGAGCACGCACACTCACCCCTCAATGCGTGTGGGGTACATGGACCCAAAGGACGTCTGGCTCTCATACTGGAGGGATGAGCACAAATGGAGGGAACTGTGGATGTGTGCTGCATGCCCTCCCGAGACAACCCCCAGACAACACATCTGTTACCCCAGGGACCCACTGATATTCCCCCTCAGGATGACACCCTGACCTTGGCGTAGCAGCGCTCCATGTGGCGCAAGGCAACACGTGGGTTGATAGGGTGCCCGCAGGAGACGCAGAAGATCTGCAGGTCCGTGTCATCACTGTCACCCTCATTGCTCTGTGTGGAGTGAAAGAAACAATGAAGCCAGGTAGGAGCAGGTACTGGGCCCCGTGCCGCTGGGCCTGTGCTTGCTCACCTCCTCATCCTCACGGACAGCCTGCTGCTTGGCACGAAGAATAATGGCCTCAAGCTCATGGAATCGGCGCTCCATTTCCTGAAGGCGGGTGCGGGCGCTCTGCTGCTCACGGCGAATACGTTCAAGCAGCTTCTTCCCGTGCTCCTCAGCAATGCAGGGACTCTGCTGCCACTGCTGGATGCGCTGGGGGAGGATCTCATAGATGCGGCTGCAGGGAGGCAGTGGGTTGGGTGCAGGCAGGGAAGGTGGCAAACAAGGTAAGGGGTGATCCAAGAATGGTAAAATGGATGGCCGACCAAATGGCAAAAGGATAAGTGACTGAATGGTAGATAAATAAGCAGATGAGCACGTGAGTGGTGGATGGATGAAGGATGGATAGATGGGTGCTTTGTGGACTGAACAGTGGGCAGGTGACTGATGGGAAGACATACAGAGGGCTCAGGCCATGCCCTACCCCATATTCCCTGACTCCCTTGAAACCTTCAGGAATGACTCACTTGGCTGCCAGCTTCATGCCACAGTCATCTGAGCAATACTTGGAGCCGGGCTGGGCAGGGCGCACACAGCCAGGTCCCAGGCACTGCGGTAGTGATGCAGGGTCCTTGGCGTCGGCGCGCTCTGGGTGTTTCCATTTGTCCTTGTGCTTCTGTTTCTGCCGATGCCGCTTGTATCTCTCTTCTTTCTATGGGACGAAGCAGGTCGGGTCAGGTTAGGGTGGAGTTAAAGTCAGCCCTCGATCCCTGTCTCCCCCTGTATGCCACCCCCTTCTGGCTCTTGTCCCATCCAGCTCCTGACCTTTGCCTCTCCCTCCCCTCCCTGCCCTCGGCCTTCCCACACTCATTTCACCCTCTCCATCACCTTCTTCTCAGATTTCTTCTCCCGACGCTTTACATGCTTCACTTTCACTGCCCTCTTCCGCAGCGCAGGGTCCAGGAACGGAGACTCCTCTGTGTCACTCATCCAGGGCTGCAAGTGAGACATACACTGACCCACCTGCCGCTCTCATGACTACCCCACCACTAATCAGTTCCCAAATCAGCCTTCCATACTCTGCCTCATCTTCCATGTCTCCTCATCATGGAAACTCAGCTTCTGTAACCTCTCCCCTTCCACCATGGGACACTCTGCCTGCTCACCAGGCCATGGTCATCAAAGGCCCCCGCACAGAAGTCCTGGTACAGGTCAGGGTCCAGTGGCAGGTCCTCATCCGAGAGTGGCTCAGGTGTGGCCATAGCCTCAGGTGGCTCCTTGACTGCTGATGATGCCACTGCCCCTTCGTCCTCACGGATGCGCCCCAGCTTCTGTGATGGCTGTGGCTGCTGCTGGGTGGGCAGTGGCCTGCGAGGCCGTGGCAGGGACTCTGAGGGCGTCACTGGCGAGAGCTGCGGGGCAGAATCTCAGGACTGGCCCTGACCGCCCTGCCCGCATGCCCCGCCCCGCCCTGGGGGGCTGGACTCACCGAGGAAGGGAAGTACTTGTACGATTCCTGTGCCGGCAGGAGGAAGGCCCAGGTCAGCCCCAGGTGGATGGAGGGTGGCCCTGCCCTAGCCCCTCCCACAAGAGCCTAGCCCCACCAACTAGCCCTGCTTTGCCTCCCCAGACACACCCACTACCCCCACCACTTCTCAGCACCAGGACATGCTCATCCCCGTCCCACCTGCCTTGACATGCCTGACTGCCTTGAAACATCTGGCTCTACCCTGCCCACCTGGGGTTGGAGGCGCCCCTGCTAGCCCCATACACCTGATCGTGCCCCGTTCATCTGGACAGGCCAGGCTCCTTCCCACCTGTCTGTATGCAACCAGGCCCCACCTCACCTGGCCCACCCCTCCTGGCCTCAATGAGCCCTTCCTGGACATCTGACACCCCCACCTGGCCCTGCCCAGCTCTACCCATGCTCACCCGGGCCCGCAGCTGGCACTGACGCAGCCGGCACTTCTGCCGGATCTTGTTGGGGCCCCCAAACTTCTTCATGTCCCGACAGAAGTCGCAGTGGCCACAGTCCTCAGTGCGCCGGCAGGCCTCGCACTCGCCACACATGCGGGCTGACCGTTTGATCTGCTGCTGCTGCTGGTGATGCTGAAGACGGGCCCAGAACAGAAATCAGGAACGCAAGTAGGGCCTGAAATGGGATCCCCTTACCTATCCCAGCCATGGCAGCCACTCACCTGGCTGGGTGTGGCCACCAAGGGCTGTGGAGAGGATTTGTGGGGCGAAGCAGAGCCCCGAGCAAGCATCGCCCCAACCCCTGTCCCTGACCCCGCCCGACGCTGCAGGTCTGGATCTGGGGCAGGCCTCTTGCGCCCTCCACCCTCATCCCGGGGCTCACTGCCGTCTCGCTCATTGCTGTCCCGCTCCCGTGACTTCTTGT